ATGCACTGTCAATAATTATGTGAATGGCATTCATTGTCATTTATCTTCAGGCCAGTGTAAATGCTCGATGGAACACTGAGATCCAAAAGTTGTTTGAGTTAGAATCACAAGAGAGCATCTCACTATCTGGCACCAGCATTAACCTCCCAGATGCTGGGAGATAGGTGCTAGGTACAGTCCAGAGAGTGAGAGCTGGCCTGAAACAGAGCAGGCAGCCAAATCAGGAGCTGTATATCTCCATGTGAATGTAAAATCTGACAGGACTGCACAGGCAGGAAGGATGTTCCCAATGACCGTGAAGTCCAGCACCAGGAGTCACAGTTTAAGGATATGGCGTGGGCCATTTAGGACTGAGATGAGGAGAAATGTTTTCACCTAGAGAGTGGGGAGCCTGTGGAATTCTCTGCCGCAGAGAGCGGTTGAGACCAAATCATTGAATGTTTTCAAGAAGGAGTTAGATATAGTTCTTAGAGCTAAAGTGATCACAGGGTATGGGGAAGAAAGCAGGAATAGGAGACTGAATTAGATGATCAACCATGATCATGCTGAATGACAGGACTGAATGGTCTATCCGTGCTCCTATTTTCTGTGTTACTAATGAAATCCAGATTAGCCATCAGATCTTTTAAAAATTTTCACTTTATTTTGAGACACCCGACATTGTCCAGCCTTTAAACAGACCAGGGATACATTGTAATTCATTTAGGTTTGCTCCTACAGCAAGTTATGGCCGTTTGTTATTTTTTCTTCTTCATTGTGTAGTAATAGTGAACTTTAGTATTTCCTTGTTAATCAGGGAAGTTTTCAGTTAATTTAGAAATACCACAGGCTATGAAATAAGTACTGGCCTTAAAACAATGATCTATTTAGCCACTTCAGTAAATCTATTAATGGACATAGCAGTGCAAACAGAGAATGTTAACAAATACTAGAAGAACAAATAGTTCTGCAGAAGGAAGCACCATCCCTTTCAATTGGTAAAGAATGTAACTGCATCAAAGATTTTTAATTTAAAGTTTCACTCGGTGAAATAGTTATATGTAACAAATGTGAAACCACTGACGGGATAACATGATGGAGCAAAGCGAATCACATTTGTATAGCACCTTTGATGACAATAGGACACCCCAATGCAGTTTGTATCCAATGAGGTACATTTGAAATGTAGTCACTGTTGAAATGTAGGAAACTGCTCAGTGATGCCCAGTTTGGTTCCGCCAGGGCCACTCAGCTCCTGACCTCATTACAGCCTTGGTTCAAACATGGACAAAAGAGCTGAATTCCAGAGGGTGAGATGTGAGTGACAGCCCTTGATATCAAGGTTGTATTCGACCGAGTATGGCATCAAGGAGCCTTGGCAAAGCTGAAATCAATGGGTATCGGGGGCAAACTCTCCAGTGGTTGGAGTCATACCTGACACATAGGAAGATGGTTGTGGTTGTTGGAGGTCAATCATCTCAGCTCCAAGACGTCTCTGCAGGAGTTCCTCAGGGTAGTGTCCTAGGCCCAACCATCTTCAGCTGCTTCATCAATGACCTTCCCCCCATCATAAGATCAGAAGTGGGGATGTTCGCCAATGATTGCACAATGTTCAGCACCATTTGCCACTTCTCAGACACTGAAGCAGTATGTTTTCAAATGCAAGATGATTTGGACAATATCCAGGCTTGGGCTGACAAGGGGCAAGTAATATTCGCGCCACACAAATGCCAAGTTATGACCATAACCAATAAAAGACACTCAGACAACCGTCCCTTGACATTCAATGGTGTTACCGTCACTGAATCCCCCACTATCAACATCCTGGGGGTTACCATTGACCAGAAACTCAACTGGACTCACCACATAAACACAGTGGCTACAAGAACAGGCCAGAAACTGGGAATACTGCGGCGAGTAACTCATCACCTGACTCCCCAAAGCCTGTCCACCATCTACAAGGCACAAGTCAGGAGTGTGATGGAATACTCCCCACTTGCCTGGATGAGTACAGCCCCAACAATACTCAAGAAGCTTGACACCATCCAGGATAAAGCAGCCCCCGCTTGATTGACACCACATCCACAAACATTCACTCCCTCCACCACTGACGCTCAGTAACAGCAGTGTGTATTATCTACAAGATGCACTGCAGAAATTCACCAAAGATCCTCAGACAGCACCTTCCAAACACATGACCACTTCCATCTAGAAGGACAAGGGCAGCAGTTACGTGGGAACACCATCTCCTGCAAGTTTTGCTCTGAGCCACTCACCATTCTGACTTGGAAATATATTGCCGTTCCTTCAGTGTCATTAGGTCAAAATGCTGGAATTCTCTCCCTAAAATCATTGTGAGTCAGCACATGGACTGCAGTGGTTCGAGAAGGCAGGCCACTGCCACGTTTTCAGTGGGCAACAGACAATAAATTCTGGCCTAGACAGTGACACTTGTTAAATGTTGAATCGGAATTGGTTTTCTAATTTAACAGCTTCTCGGGTGTAGAGATGCATGAGGCTGGTGAAGTGCCTGCTCACATACAATCCATAGCTCGCAGTTCCTAGCCTGGGTCCCTGGCCTGAAACCAGAGGCTATATGAGTGCCAGACTGTTACCAAATGCTGTAGGCACTTTGGAAGAATTTGAAAAGTGATCATTTTGTACGGCTGCACCTTCCTGGACCATCAAATCCTGGAGCAGGACTTGAGCTCAGTGCCCCTGAAGCTAGGGAGGCTTCCCATTGAAACATGTGTCCTCCCGGCCTTCAAACAAGTTGGGCTATAACTGAGATGGAGATGACCTTCCACAGGAACTCCGAGTGCACTGAGAAGAGAATCAGTTTACAGCGTCTGGGATGTTGAATCAATAGAAGGGAATGACTTGATCTGCTGAATGGAGTAGATGGCAACTGGATACTGAGCATCGAGGTGAGGAGAGCTTTGTTGTGGAACTGATTGGATATGTGCGAATAGAGGGAAGAGCTGGTTAGACTCTCCCATCCTCCCAACAGGGGGTGAAAGGTGAGTGATTATGGTAAGTAACTGGAGAAGGTTGTTGTTGGGAGTTCCGAGTCACTATGACAGTTAGGAATCCTGTAAAGTGGTACTTATTAACATACTGGATTCTGTAAGGCTGTCAGTTTTGTGGAACAAGGAATTTATATTGAATCAGTTTTGCAAGCTGTCAAGTAGCCAGTTACAGATTAATGTAGCAGAGCTCTTGTTGTCTGGGCAGAGGAACCTTGTATTTGACAGACATGAAGTTAAGGAATAGTTTTGCAGCCGTAACTAGCTCTCAGCGTCAGAATACAGGGCCGGAGTCAAGACACTTGGAAGGAAGTCTTATTTATCTCCTGTGCTGTCATTTTAACACCTCTGTCACTGACAACAGATCATCAGAATCGAACAGAAAACGTTTCTCATCTGCTGTATCCGCCATCTGCTGTATCCGCCGGCTGCCATATCCGCCATCTGCCGTATTCGCAGGCAGCCATATCCGCCATCTGCCGTATCCGCAGGCAGCCATATCTGCTACCCTCTGTATCCGCTATCCTCTGTATCTGCCATCTGTTGTACTTGCCAGCAGCTGTATCCGCCGGCTGCTGTATCCGCCGGCTGCCGTATCCACTATCTGCCGTATCCACTATCCTCTGTATCTGCAAGCTGCCGTATCAGCAGGCAGCCATATCCACTATCTGCCATATCCGCTATCCTCTGTATCCGCAGGCTGCCGTATCCGCTATCTGCCGTATCCGCTATCCTCTGTATCCGCAGGCTGCCGTATCCGCTATCCGCTATCATCTGCTATCTGCAATCTGCTGTATCCACTATCCTCCATATCCGCAGGCTGCCATAACCGCTATCTGCCATATCGGCAGGCTGCTGTATCTGCTCCTTGGAGGCAGTAAGGTCGGCAGATGCTGGAAGCTAGAGTCAATACCTGTGAGGCTGGAAAAGCATAGGGGGTCAGACAGCATCCGAGGAGCAGGATAGTCAACAGTTCAGGCCAAAATCCTTCATCAGCACTAGGGAGGGGAAGGGATGCCAGAAATAAATAGGGGGAGGGGGTGGGGCTGGGGGAAGGATAGGAGATAAGGTGATAGGTGGATACAGGTAGGAGGTATTGTGATTGGTCTGTGGGAAAGGTGGAGCGGACAGGTGAGTAGGAAGATGGGCAGGACAGGTCAGGTTGGGGGAGGGGTGCACATGAGATAAGGCTGGTGGAATTTTGAAGCTGGTGAAGTCAATGTTGAGGCCATTGGGCTGTAAGCTCCGAAAGTGAAATATCAGGTGTTGTTACTCCAGCTTACATTTGGCGTCACTCTGACAGTGGAGAAGCCTGGGATGGACATGTGGTCAGAGGAGTGGGAGGGAGAATTAAAACAGATGGCAATCGGAAGGTTGGGTTGGTTGATGCGTGCAGAGCACAGATGTTCCACAAACCGGTCCCCGAGTCTGCGTTTGGTCTCACCGATATAGCAGAGACCACATGAGGAGCAACGGATCCAACAGATCAGGTTGGATGAGCGCTAGTGAATCTCTGCCGGATCTGGAAGGATTGTTTGGGACCTTGAACAGAGGTGAGAGGGGAGCTGTAGGAGCAGGTGTTGCACCTTTTGCAGTCGAAACGTAAACTGGAGGAACAACACCTGACATTTTTCCTACTCTTCCCCCAGCCCCACCCCGCTCCCCCTATTTATTTCTGGGCTCCCCTCCCCCTCCCCAGTCCTGACGAAGGGTTTCGGCCCAAAACGTTGACTTTCCTGCTCCTCAGATGCTGTCTGACCTGCTGTGCTTTTCCAGCCTGACACCTACAGACTCTGGTTCCAGCATCTACACTCCTTATTGTCTCCATGTCAATGATGCAACTGCCTTCATTAAACTGTTCATTCAGTTAAGTCTCCCTACATGAAAGTAACTGGCCTAAAAACTTGAAACTCTGAAAAGAATGCATTAAAACATTTTTCTTGGTGTGCTGAATTTCTGACCCTGTAATAACTCTTGTGTCATGTTGAATTGCAGGATGGATGACATTCAGCTCTGTAAAGATATAATGGATCTGAAGCAGGAACTCCAGCAATTGGTCTCAATTCCAGGTAATTGTACATTTGGTAGCTTTCAAGTTGGTTTACGTTCTCCTCTAGCTGCGTGAGAGCCATAAAGAATTGACAGCTAGGAGCAGTGACATGAGAGCTGTTGTAATCAATTTCCTTGCAGCTGTGTGTTTTGTGAGTTGTTGATAGTGGGACACAATACTCCAGCCATTTGTACATAAGCTGCCGTCTACAATGACAATATTCTCAGGTGTTTTCAGATCAAGTCACAGTAGCAATACAGAGCAGGGGCTTGGTTAGCTCAGTTGGCTGGTTTGTGAGGTAAAGTGATGCCAACAGTGTCGGTTCTGTTCCAGCACTGGCTGATGCTACCATGAAGGGCTCTCCTTCTCAACCTCTCCCCGCACCTGAGGTATGGTGACCTTCAGGTTAAACCCCCACCCATCTTCCGAGTGAGTGGGGCTACGGGCTGGTAATGCTACAGTGACCTGACTGTTTTTTAACCACTTCTCATGCCATTGGATGAAGACTTAGTTGAGGAAACGACAGCTGACTATCTGTCCTCTGGAAATATAACCGCAGGATCTGGTGCAATGCAAGGTGAGGAATTGTTGGTGAACCACCGTGTGAGATGTAGAAGAACATATTTCTGGCCCCTGTGTGCGATATGTTCAAGTAGTTATCAAACTGACTCCATGTGAGAAATTTGTGACTTTACTTCAGGATCTAGGATTGAGTATTTGAAGCTGCAACTCGTAAATAAAAATTGACAATTCTATCAGCCTTTCTTGTCCTCTGGATAGGCAACGTGATCCTTAAACTCTACTCTGTCCCTGTCTGGTGGACTGCCTGACCTTTCTCCTCCAGGATTGATTCTCGGATATAGCCCAGAAACGAGAACTGCAGAAAGGTCCAGCCAATCATGTGCCTTCCACAAGCCCAGCCTGCCTCCATACCCATTCTACCCAATCATGGGCCTGGCAAGCTCTGTATCCAGGCAAAAGCCTTCAATCACTAATCCCCCCACGTCTGTATTTTAGTGTCAGTAGCTGAGGGGAGATGGTGGTGGTAGCATTGTGGTAATTTCACTGGACCAGTAAACCAAAGGCTGAGGCTAATGCTCTGGGGATTATAGGTTCAAATCCCATCAAGGAAGTTGATGGAGTTTAAATTTGATTAATAGAATCTGAATCTGAAACTGAAAGTTAGTCTTTGGCAATGGTGGCCATTTTGATTATCAACAATTGTCATTAAAACCCCAACTGGTTCCCTGATGCCCTCTAAGAAAGGAAATCTGCCATCCTTACCCAGTCTGGCCTACATGTGACTCCAGACCCACAGCATTTTTCCACCTGAGGTGATCTAGCAGTCACATGATTCAAGGGGCAATTAGGGATGGGCAATAAATGTTGGCCTTGTCAGCAGTGTCCACATCCCATAACATAAAAGTGTGAGCTCCACCTGAACTTTCCTCTCCTTTCCCATGACAGTCGTGTATCTCGAGACCTCGATGACAAATTCCCATTGGTGTTTAGAGGTTTTAGGTAATGCCATTCCCTACAGAGGCGAAGTAAGACTAAAAGAACCAAAATGATGTTAGCTCAGTAAAGAATCGTAAACTGGGTTTTGCTGGAACAAGGAGCCATATTATGTTGATTTTTTTAAATTTCGTATTCATCAGGACAATTTTCAAGAAATGCCAAAAGGAGAACTGAATTTATAGTGTCTGAGAGGAGAGCGCTGATTGGTTGGCAGATAGTCTCTGGTAGAGGCGTGACATGGAGAATACATCAGTTAATGATAACTGACAGTCAACTGCCAAGCAGTTATAGTCTAATTGCCCAACCAATCAGCATACTCCTCTCATATAGTTTCAGTGATGTTCTCCTTTCACACTGGTATTCTTGTGAATTATCCCAATGAGTGCAAGACAAAAACCTGGACAAAATATGTCTTTTTTTTCACAAATACTGGTGTTCGTGTATTTCCAGCTGACTAGATTCTAAACTGGCAGATATTAACCAAGGGTCTAGCAAAGTTTAATCCTGGAAGTTAATTGTTTCTGATTTAGTGGTTCACAATAGTATCACATTCCTCAGATATTAACAAATCACAGATAAAAATGAGAACTCTCTGCACTCCTCCATTTTCTTTCCCCCTCTTTGTCTAAAGTCAAGTGGGATTCTACTATTAACTGAGACTGTTATAACCTGCAGTCAGTAGGAAGTTGAAGGAGGGTGTGTATTTGTATAAAGTATTTCCCTGAGGAAAGCTTTGGTTCATTTAATTCTTACATAGCCCCATCCCTCAAGACTGGTACAGGGTGATCACAACATAATTACAGCCTACACCCTGGAGGAAATAACTCCTGATGTTTTGAAGCAAATTGAAGAGGTTTAATTATTTTTTTTAAGCTTACAATTGCTTATACTTGCCTTTTAATTAAATGCTTAATTTGCCTTGTCGGCAGCTGTACATCTTACAGTCGAAGAACAGAATCTGCTGACAACGTGATGTAAGACCTAAAAGCAGGATTAGGCCATTCAGCCCTTCAAGCCTGCTCCACCGTTCAGTAGTATCATGGCTGATCTGATTGTGGTTTCAATTCCACATTCCTGTCTGACATCTGTACCGCTCGGAACGAGGTCAGCCAGGTGAGTTCCCTGATTGGGGCTGTTAACCTGGTCCAATCAGGGAGCCCTGGCTGACAGATGTAAACAGGAGCTGGCTCTGAGCAAGCTGGGTCAGTGACACATCCTGTGCATGTGTAAATAAAGGGTATCTTGGTGATGGGAACTCAGCCTTCATGGAGTTATTTCACCTTTGACTGCCTTGTCTATCAAAAATCTATTAACTCAAGCTTTAATGCTACTTTCCAGGGAAGAGAATTGCACAGAATAACAGCTCTCGGAGAAAACAAAACACCCTCCTGATTCCGTTTGTAAAAATGAAACGTCTTACTGTTTAAACTTTGCCCTGTTGTATGGTGCAGTAATGTAGCAGCAGACAATGGGAGGCAGTGCTGTGGTGGTAATGTCACTGGACAAGTTATCCAGAGACCCAGGCCAATATTCTGGAAGCACGTGTTTGAATCCCACCAGGGCACCTGATGGAATTTGGGTTCAGTAAATGTACGGAATTGCAAGTCTCAATGATGATCGTGAACTGTTTGTTGTAAATGCCCATCTGGGTCGCTTATATCCTGTCCTGTCCTGGCCTGGTCTACATCTGATTCCAGACCCACAGTGATGGGGCTGACTCTGTAATGGCCCTAGCAAGCTGCTCCAAACAAGGGGCAATTAGGGATGGGCAATAAATGCTAAGCGAAGCCCACATTCTGTGAACAGATATATTTAAAAGCATTACAGTGTCCTTCAGCCACTACAGATCACATTTTTAATTCTGTAATGAATTATTTGGAGGGCTTACTTTCATCCAGCCTCTTATTGTGGGCCGATGCTAAATCTCAGCCTTATGAAGGAAGTAAAAGAAAGAGCTTTGATCGAAATACCCCCCAAATTGTACCAGTTATTAAATGTTTTCCAAGTAATGTTGTTTTGTTTTCCTTTTACAAAATGACTGACATTTCTGTTAAATATTTATAGCACAGCAGTCCTGTGCTTACTCTGAGCTTCAGGGATAAGCGGTTTGTGATGGTCTCTGTGTTTTAACGGTGTCTGTAACAGTGTAGGCTTTGATTTGAAGTGGGGGCAGTAGTCGGAGCTGCACGAACTCAAACACAACATTTACCCCCCACTTCCCGCCCCACCCTCCATTTGCCCCACTGCCTGCAATGATATCATCAGGATAAGACTTTCCCATTTAAATTAGACTGTGTTCCCAAAACAAGGGCATCTTCCCCAGCCCCAAATACAGGCATTTCCCTTCAGGCCGGTGTTGGGAATGTAATGTCAATGTTCACCCCCATCAGGCCTATAATTTCTGTGTGCATACCTCTGACAGGGTAGCGTGGTGGCTCAGTGGTTAGCACTGCTGCCTCGCAGCATCAGGTACCTGGGTTCAATCCCACCCTCAGGTGACTGTCTGTGTGGAGTTTGCACATTCTCTGTGTCTGTGTGGGTTTCCTCCCACAGTCCAAAAATATGCAGGTTAAGTGGGTTGGCTGTGGGAAATTCAGGAAAAGGGTTGGATGCTTTTTGGAGGCCCATTGTGGATCTGATGGGCTGAATGGCCTGCTTCAGCACTACAGGCATTCTATGATGCTATGCTGTCCCTCCAACCAGATAGACCAGGTAAAATTCTAACAGGACTAGAACAGGGTAAACACAGGAAGGTAAAGTCACCATAGTCCCAGAGTAACGTGGGGTTGCTCTCTCATTAGAGAGAGGGGGAGAGACAGAGATGACTAGTGGTGGTTTAACCTGAGGGTCACCATACCTTGGGAGAGGTTGAGAAGGAGAGACCTTCAGCCAGTGCAGAAATTGAACCCGTTCAGTTCCCCTGGACTCCAGCTCGATGCTCCATTAAAATCAGACTCCACTGCTATTTCACCGTTGTCTTGCACTGTGACAATTATTGAGCATTCTAGAATACCTGTTCCTTAATGAAGCAGACGGGATCGTTGAGTATTTGCTGTCATGGAGAACATTCTAGAATGACAATGGATGATTGATTGAGCTCTGTAGATAGCCTGGCACTGGTATGACAGAGCCAGTAGGTATGAACACTGGTGCCCAGCTGGACAGATGCTGAGGATTAGTGGTTCATCTGGAGTAATCCAAACCAAAACAAGCGGATTGGAAGGATAATGTCCAGCTTGTGGTGACCACAGATAACATGGGAAAAGTCGGGAGAGAAAGGGGGGAAAGGGGGTTGAGAAATGGAGGAATTGTCAACTTGGCCTTTACCCAACAGTGAGCACTGTCATTGGTGCTGCAGCAAGGGGCCATCTCTGTTTTTCTAACTCCCACCTGAAGGGGTATCAGACTGGGATTGAGGGAAGTATCTGGTGGGCTCACTCAGGACTCAGTGCTGGGGCCATTTAATGGCGCCATGCTAAGTGGTCAATGTGATTCCAGACT